CCTAGCACTGTTTACATTTCAAAAGATTACATATAAATATTATATAGGTTCTTTTTATGATTTCTAAGAGCATTAATGTGCATTGTCAATACCTTAGACTCTTAACTATAATTACGCCATTTGTTTTTCTTTGTTCATTTTCCTACATCCAGGCACTGTTTACAGTTTACCACTTACAGACCGGATAAAACCCGAGTCGTAATTATGATCCATTATAATCTCTATCCTTTCTAGGCATTTTACATCGATTAAACAACTCTTAAAGATATATTAAATCAAGATAACATGATATAGGCAATATGCATAAAAGTAAAATGAGTTACAGAGAGCAAATTATACTAAAAGGTCAAAATTACATGAATTATACATATTGAAGTGCATGTGCTAAGAATTGTGGGTATATACTGTGGGTTGAAGAGTTAGGTCCTCGTACTTATTATTTCAAAATTAATTTTTCAAACAACAACAGAAAAATAATAACAGAGACAGTAATATCAAGCAATATAATTTCAAATTAATTCATAAAATATTGCCATCGAAAGACAATCTCTTTATATGGAAAATCGTACAGTCTAACGAATGTGAAATTTGTCGTGAAAAAGAAACTATTGAACATTTTATATTTCGTTGCAAGAAATTAAGAGTTTTCCGGAAAATTATCTCAAGAATTATATATTTCATTTTTAAAATAGAAATTGAAATTGATATGAAAATGTTATTGATTGGATATAAAAAAAAGATAACAAAAAATTTACTTTACTAAATTTTTTGATAAACTGGTTACTTAACTGGTTATATACAAAGACTACGTAAAGCATAACTTTGGGGAAGTACCAACCAATCCATAGAGGTTAATAAATAATTTCATTTCATCATTAAAATGTTATTTGAAATACAAAGAAAATATAAGATACTTCGATAATGAAGAAGTTAAGAAAGTATTAGAAATGTTAAAATGATCTTTTTAAGAAATTATGTTAATCTTGTATATAATTCATATGTTTCATTTTAGTTGTTTTGTTAATAATATATAATTATGTATTTTGAAATGAGACAATAAAGTCCCTCTGAAGAGGTAAAGAGAAGAACAACAAAAAAACAGAAAAATCTAGGAGGGCCGAAAACAAAAAGGATGAGGGGATTATAAACTAGGAGTTAATTCTATTTGACCTTAAACGCCGTGTAATACTTAAACTTTCAGACGTGGTAGCCTCAACAAAGTTGTACACCCTTTTTGAGGTGATGATTTTTATTTTTGTTTGTGTGTGTGTGCATCTGGGTAGAAAATAAATGAGCTTTTACAAGGAGTTTTGATTTTAACTACATTCATTTATTCACGCTGAAGCTTATTGAGCTAAGATGACTGCTTTTCAGAAAGTCCACGTAATTACTAACAAGAATCAGAAACATGAAGACACGTAGAAAACACTGACAAATATGATGCATAACACCTTGAATCGAATGATTCCTATAAACGCCCTTTGAGCGGGTTGTTTTGAAGAAAAGAAAATTATCAACAGCCTTTTCAATAAAGCCAACTATGGTATTACCGAAAGCCTCCAATCGTGAATACTCTTTCACCGATGGAAACAAAATTTCGGCATTAAATTGTAGAATTTTTAAAAATGTATTTGTTATCTGTTTCACAAGTAAAGCAATACTTTTGATATGTTTGTTAAAGTCAAGATTGTCATCAATTATAACTCCCAAACATTTATATGTATATACACATTCCAATTGGCAACCATTTAATTCAATCGACAGCATACTGTTATCTAATATCTAAGCTTTTGCTTTGATCCTATATCGTTTTGGTCTTTCAATATTCAAAATCAACTTATTTTTATTTAACCATGAATTCAGTTCACTAAGAGCTTTTGCCAATTTGAGTTCTAGCTTTTCCCCATACAGAAATAGTAATATCATCTGCATACATATAAACAATGCCATGATTTGAGATGGAACATAGCAGGTCATTGACAAGTAGAGTAAAAAGGAGCGGGGCCAGGATGGGCCCTTGTGGAGCTCCCATTGTTATTTTTTTTTTATAAATGTTGATTTTTCTTCCCCTAATGAGACAAATTGACGGCGATCTTTCAAGTACGATTCAAACCATTTGATTACATTCGGGGAGCAACCACATCGATGTAATCTTCTTAAGAGGAGAAAGTGATTGTCTGTATCGAATGCACGTCGAAGATCTATAAAAGCTACACCATTCAAAAACCCTTTGTCTACATTGTCTGACCACTGGTTAAGAATTCATAATAGGGCCGTTTCGCATGAGTGCTTCGGACGAAATCCAAATTGGTGTTAATAAAATAGATCATACTGAGACAAATATTCATAGATATTGAAATAAACTGCCCTTTTTAATTATTTTATATCAAATCGGCAGTATAAATACGGGTCTGTAGTTTTTTCTTCAAGTCTGATATTTCAACATCGTTTACATTCAAATTATATTTTTAGACTGTTTTTTTTTAGTAAGACGTCCATAACGCATTTGCATTTCCAGATTTATCGTTCAATGATGAAGTAATGCATGATTTTTTAAGTTTATTGAGTTCACGTGTGATAAGATTTCTGTATATTGTTTCCAAAAATCTGAGAGTTGTGTTGCTTTATCACGAAGGTAATCCCTCGTGTTCATCAATTCGATGCCTTCACCTGACACCAAAGGAGATGAATTATTTCTTAGATGTTTCTTTTGTAAGGTGCACACATATTTACAATTTCCATTATCAGATTGTACCATATATCACACGCACAGTTTACGTCCTTACGCTGAATCTATACTTTTTCAAAGTGCACTTGGGATAGTAAAGAATTGAATTCTGCAAACTCAAAACCCTTAAAATCTCTCCATTCTATGATATTTTCTTTATGAGCAATAACAGCATCGCCGTAAACAGTGAAAATCATATAATGATCCCTGAATTATTTTTTTAGCACTCCATTCAACGAGTGATTTTCTTCGTCAGTGGAATATATAAGATCAATAATAGTTTGCGACGTTGTCGTCACTCGTGGTGGAACATCAATCAGTTGATCAAAAAGAAAACCAGGCATCATCTCCTCGAGAGTTGGAGTCTATGTCGTTTGGACAGATATCACAGTTTAAGTCTCCAAGACCTAGTAATATAATTTCTACATCTGTATTGGTGACAGCTTGACTTAACATTCTGTTCAATAAATCGAAGTAATTTGACGACGAATTTGGATGTCTGTAGATAACTCGCATAAGAGTTAGTGTTTCCGAATGTTTTGGCGGTGATTGTACCCACATAGATTCAATATCGTCGCATGTAATATTATTGTTCATACTGGCTACTTACGTCATTTTTTACATAAAGTGCTACACCCCCTCCATGTCGGTTGCGGTCTTTGCGGAAAATATTGTAACTTTCAATGTCTAATTCAGAATGAGATACAGAATATGAAGGTATAGAAAGGATTTAGCTATTATATACTGGGATGTGAAAAAAGAAAGGTATTGGCGTCAACATTTTAATGTTGCAATAATTAGAGACACGGGAAAAGATTCGAACACGTAATTGTCAAGGGAGACCTCTGATGCATGAATAAGTGCGTCAGGTGTCTTCTCCTGCTCGTTTTGCATAATCATGTAAAAAATAACGTCTCAGCTGGCATTTGAACGGGATAATGAGAGTGATTTGGGAGGCACTTTAGCAAACAATTTTCGGGTACGAGGAATGGGTTAGAGACTACTTTGACTTATGGGGTATTGTTATTTCTTACAAAAAATGTAGCAGTTACTACATTTCGAGGGCATTATTCGTCTAAATAATAATGTAAATACTATTGGTGTTTTCTTTTTACTCTCAAAGTTCATTAAACAGACTCAGTCAACAGGCGAGCAATTGATCTGTTTACCTAGTCAACGACAATGTTTTTACCTCAAACTCTTATATAAATTGTCAATAATTTATTGTCAGCTAAATTAACATCCATTTCTTCCACTTTTATGACTTTTTTGTTGTTGAATGGTATACATTTAACTGATAAATACAAGCAAAGGTTATGAAAAGAATCTTTAATGAGACGATTTATTCCGCTAATTTAACTCCCCAACATGATATTTATGAATTTATACAATGTTGGTGATTTCATTCCAGTTTTACAAAATCAGATTTCATACCCAACGTATTATAACGATCGCTTTGTACAAACGAAATATTTATTTACAATTGACGCAACTTATAACGCTCATGGTGCCAGGTATAATTATGACTTTGATAAGTTTCAACAAAACACATGTAAACGAAAATTCGTCTACCTTTTCATGTTAAAAGCTACAACTAAATTATTAAATACGTTAGATAAGGAAACTTGTAATCATGATTTCAGTATTTTTTCGATTTCCTGGGGTTTGTACCAACGGTCAGTTTTTCATAATCCTTGAGCACTTGACAATTTCTTGCATGGGATTTATACAAGCTGTATGTTTTCTTTCCTCAGGTTCATGAATTATTCCTGAAATGTTCGTTAATCCGAAGGTTTAAAGCCCCACTGCACTACTTACAGCTAATTGCACCCTCTACAAAGCAAACAATGCCTAATCAGTGCCTGTTGGTCCCCCATGATCCCCTTTTCCTTATGTTAATTGAGAGCTGATTTGATGAGACCTGTCAGTGACCTTGCAGGGAGGTCTAATCTCCCTCGCCAAACTAGTGCAGACGGGCTTTAAGAATGGCCAACGGCAACACAAGACTTCTTTCCTAATTCAATAATATCCAACCTATCTTTGGTAGATCTGTTGTAGCATGTTTAGATACACATCAATTCATTCTGTTCTTTATATTTCCCTGTCTTTTCCTCTTCATAACATATCTTTTTTTTTTATCTCTTCCTTCATTAGTATTGCCCTTACACTATGGCTAAACCTTCCCCCTTTTTAAAATAGTTTTAATCCTTTCTATTTATTTATTCATTTATTTATTTAATTAATTTCTTATATTCATGCACGGTTACACATTTTAACCGATATTGATGTTTTCCAGATAATAAGCCCTATTCTGTAACAACAATTTTCAGTAACAATAACAATAATGAATGTTAATTCATAACAGTAATAAAACAAAAATATTTTCATACATAACGTAACAGACCGGCACTGTACACCCTATTAACACGGTATTTATTTATTTATTTATCTATTCGTTTCATGTAAACAGGTTAGCTCTCTCAGAATTAAAACTGTTTTCCTGGGAGGCCCTGTACAAACTATAGGTTACCAATACAGAGGAAATTGAACAAATTTGTACACATACATACATACGGTATTTATTTTAAACTGCACTCCTCAACCAATATAATTAGTGAATTTTCTTCGAAATGTCTTGATTTTCTCTGCACAGAGCCCTCGAAATCTTTTGTTGACTAAATTGTAAACGAAAGGATTGACTGCGTGATTAATAAGGAAAAGATATTCTAAGAATCTGACTGTGATGAGTATAGCAGGATGGGATTGGGAGAGTCCTTGGTACTGTGTCGTAGGAATGGCTTTGATGAGGATGTTCGGTAGCCAGGACGCGATGAAGACGACAGTAGACAGAATCAGCATCTTCGTTGTCTTATTCCTTATTCCATCAGCCATGGCACAAGCAACACCAGGGTTGCGGTTTTGTCGCTCCGTTTTCTCAGGGAGCGGCCGTAGGGTGCGTTCAGATTTGTACGAACTCTGGGACCATGCATGTGTCACAGGGACTGCTAAGTGGGGACCATGTGAACAATGCACGGACAACGATTCTGGAACCTTGTAGTCCTCGCTGGGTCTGTTGGTCGAGCTGCTCGCCACGGGGGCTTTATCAGATATGGTTTGAATATCATTTGGAGAAGGTGATTCGTGAATGGGTGCAGGATTGGGAGCAGGTGCCACACGGGCCCTGAAATGGGCCTGGCGCCGAATCATGATGCACATTTGCAGGTAGAGTATGATAAGTACAGCAGTGGACAGCAAAAAAGCAAAGACAATTATGCCGTAGATGCCTTCTATGAGCCACTGGTTGGCCGTTGGTGTGCAGAGAGACACCGAAGGCCCATAGCTGCGGATATCAAAAGCAAAAACGGGTGGCAGGCTACAGATAAAGGCACTCACGAAACATCCTACGCAGACCTTGCAGGATCGTGGTAAGTTGAGGATTGTCTTCAGAGGATAACAAACTGCGAAGTAGCGATCAAAGGCCACAGCGTTGGTGAGGAACATGGAGGTGAAAACACTGACGAAGCTGGTGAAGATATGGATTTTGCACAAGATGGTGGAGTGTTGGTTGTTGACGGTCAGCCAGTAATGGATACCGAACGGCATGAGACAGCAGGCAAGGAGGTCGGCGACGGCGAGAGCGATGACGAAAACGTGAATGCTCTTTTTGGGAGTGCGACTCGCCGTGACGAGAACAACGAGGAGGTTTCCCGGTATACCCACCGCCATCAACACGATGTAAAAAGCCACAAAAATGCCCCTGAGAGGCTCCATCTTGTGATAGTGATAGTGATAGTGGTGGTTATTTTACCTGACAGCTAAGAATGCAATAAATGCTTGTTAGTAAGCAACCAGAAGACCGACGGCTTAATGTCATCTCCGAGGGACCTGGTAATGAAGATTAATGCCTTACCAAAGCGCACTAGCGCATCACCTTGGTTTCGAACCCGGGTCACCGGATAACGAGACCACTGCTCTACCGACTGAGCTATCGCGCCAACAAGATCGAAATTACGACGTCGAGCTCACTCGCTGGTTGATACTACACTCGCAACCTCAACTACTGATAGATATTAGTATAGCACAAATCAAAGTATTCCTCTATCGACGAAGTATATGCGCAGCTTTATCTCATTATAGAAAACCACTCCACTTGTGAGACTCCAGACTTCATTTCATTATCTGCGTTGATATACCTGAATAGGCTCGTAACGATCACTCATTGTTACTACTTGAAAACAAATTGCAAGTCTGTGTTATTGAGGCTAGTCATGACGCAAATATTGTCAACTGAATGACACACGCCTTAAAACTAAAACAATAAAAACATTTATGTAAAAATTGTGCTGGATTGTCATGAACTCTTCGTTATCCTCATTTCCTTTGGTGGATGGGGGAGAAATTGTAGCCGGACCCCCCCCCCCCCTCCCCCCGTTTGGGGAAAAGGGGAGCGTTCATGTGTTTTTTCTCGCTATTTTCATATTTTCATTTTTGTTGTTGGGAGTGAATCAACATTCGTTAATATTTCTTCAAATTTCATAGAATAATGAGAATTTGTTTTGAATGGAACTAACATAGAATAATCAACAATACGAACTATGAACAGTGGCGGATTTATCATTTGTTGGATTTGGTATCCCCCGTCCCCCCCCCCCCCCCCCCCACCCTTCAGTCATGATATTTCTTTTCTCGCTATTTTCATATCTTCCTTTATTGTGTTGTGAGGGAATCAGCATTCGTTGTTATTTCGTTCTTGCAGTGGAGCTATAATGCGTGTTTACAAACGTATAAACCTGTCAGGTCGCATCGTTTGCTGTCATTATGATAATTGTCAATATATATATACTTCAGCTAGCAAGATTAATCACAATTTAAGACACGCGTTGTACTTCAAGGCCCGGCTGATTGGTTTTGCGCGATTTCTTGTCCAAAATACCACACGAATATAATTATGAATAGATAATCCGGAAATCAGTTGTCAGTGTCACTCCACATCGACGCTCTTTAAGAAAAGAAAACCCGATTTAACATTTAATTAAGGGCTCGTTCAGTCACGAGATAGCAAAATCGCGGCGGTTTTATTTTTTCCTAAATGATACTGAAGTGTAACACGCTTCACAATTTCGAATATCATAGCTCAGAGCTCAGTGAATATGCACAAGTCCTTTGTTGCACGCAGTTGCAATTCATTTACAAGATTTTTTTTTTTTAAACAACGGCCGCCTTTTTGTGGTGGTTTACCGCGCTATATCTGAACAAGACAAGATATTAAGAATTCATAGTAATCAATAACGACGCAAGCCCATTTACCTGAATATCAAAGGTTACGCAAGTTGAAATGACTTGATGCTCATAATACAGAGTGAGTCAGAAAAAAAAAATGTGTCACTTTTTAAAAGTTGTATTGTTTGAAGTATGAATATTTAATCATGGGTTTCATGATATGTCTAGATAGAGTTATCCTCCCAGTACATTTAGGTACCATTTTCATTTGAATTATTTACAAGACTGCCATATCTCGCTTGCGCCAAGTTGTTGGGTGAGGAATAAGACAGTGCATTGAACAAAGACAGTCAGACAGACATTCACACACACACACACACACACACACACACACACACCCACACACGTACGCACACACGCACACACACACCCACACGCACGCACACACGCACACACGCAAACACACACACAACGCACACGGGAACAATTGTTTCATTATTTCCTCTTTTCATTGACTTTTATCAAGATAGCTGAATGTTTAAGTGGCATTTCCCTGACAATCTTTCCCTTTACTACACATTCACTACCACCATCATATCATCATCATCATCATTGTCATCATCTTAATCTTCATCATCATCATCATCATCATCATAAAGTACACATGAATCCAATGTGCTATCTTTAATCAATACGTAGGTACATTAACAATCGTTGGCTATGTCTTTTGTTGTGGTTAACAATGACAATTTACAATCGATGGATTTGCCTGATTTGAAGGGGGAAAGGTGATAAAACACATGGGGTGAAATATGCGGGAGGGGAGGCTTTGAAGAAGAGAGATGGTTGGAGGGTGATGGAGAGTTTGGGAGAAGGAGGGGAAGGGAGAGTGGGTAGGGGAAGACTTGGGTGCTTGGACACAAGGAGAGGGATGGTGGAGAGAGAAAGAGAGCTTAAACAAAGCACAGAGGGTGGAAAGAGGAATGTAGAGAGAGAGAGAGAGAGAAGGAAAAGTACGGAAAAAGAGGAGTTGACACTTAAAAGGATGGAGAGAAAGAGGAATAAGAAAGTGATAAAACAATAAAACGAATAGGAGAGGGAAAATAGGGGAAGAAAGAGAGGAAGAGCTTAGCCTCCTAGGAGGGAATACGAAGTGGGAGAGAGTGGAGAGAGGAGAGGTGGTAGAACGGAAATGAAAGGAGAAGGGGAGAGAGAGAAGAGAGAGAGAGACATAGCAAAAACGCGAGAGAGAGAGAGAGAGAGAGAGAGATAGGGAGAGGGGGAAAGAGATTGAATGGGGAAGACAGATGGTTCGTATCGTGTGATTGGAGGCAAGAAGGGCGTTTGTCTACTTATCTCTGCTCCATACGATATACTCTACATACTAGATGAGGATACGAAGCATATCAATGCCACATTTATATATTTGTTTTAATATGTAGATAATAAATCCCCCGTTGTAAAAAATTCAAGCTTTTATCGGTGAATCTTAAACAATGACATTCTGATAAAATAGCATCCCCGAACCCAAGAAAAGGTCGAGACAGCAATAGAAAATACATGTAGTAGAAAGAAGGGTGAGAAAGACACAAAAAGTAAATTTACACTGAACCGTAGTATTTTAATTCATGTTACAATTCATGACACAATTCTAAACTGAATAAACATCAAATATACAGATATTCAGATACACAAGATACAAATAACTTTTAAAAGCATTGCAATTTGGATTTCTTTTTCATGTAAATCATTCTACACTAAAGCTATGGTCACAAATCAGAGCAGCGACCGACCGAACAGTAGCCTGCTCGGTCGCTGATGGAATTTTGGCATCGCCGAGCGATTAGGTCGGTGCCCGGGCGGCGACCGCCCAGGCACCGAGCGTATTTTGGGCGGCGAGTGAAAAGTGAGCCGGCGCCGCCCAAATTTTAACTCCGCGCTAAAACTTCAGCGGCGACCGAGCGATGCCCTAAAAACGCGCGGTGCCTGGGCGGCCGCCGCTCGGTGGCTGGGCAGCCGCCTGGCAGAATTGGTTAAAAACTCGCCGCTCGGCCGCCGAGCAGGCTACTTTTGGGTAATGTGACCATAGCATTACAACGTGTTTTATGTAAATTATAAATTGTATAAAATGAAAGTCATTAGTTCCTCATTGTGTTGATTTTGTGATCTAGATAATGCAACGGTTGAACACTTTTTTGGTAATGTACAATAGTACAACATTTTGGGAATCAGCTAGGAAAACAGCTGACTTTGTTTGATTTCTAGATGTTAACCGAAAAAACGGTAATTCTTGGTATATTGTGGAAGAATTAGAATTATATTCTTTTCAATAATATATTAATGATTGCAAAGAAAACAATTTACCTAAATAGATGAAAATTAGCTAAACCAAATATTTCTGACTTTATTTCTTTACTAATCAAATCGTACAAAATGGAAATATACATTGTTATACGTAATGATACCAAAACTGCCATTGACAGCAGGTGGCAGGGCAAGGCCTAGTGGATATCCATTGTCAGATAAGTGAAGAAAGATATTTGATATGTGATAAGCCAGGGGCGTACGCAGGATTTTTTCAAGGGGGGGTTTTAAAATATTTTGCTCCCGAAAATTTGAAAATCGCGCCGGCCGAAAAGTCGCTCAGTGGGGGGGGGGGGGGGGGGGGGGGGGGGGGGGGGGGGGGTAAGCGGACACTTTTTTTTTTTTTTTTGGTCTCAAAATTTCAAAATTTGACATTTTTTACGTATGGGGGGGGGTAAGGTCACCTTATTTAGGTTAGCCGTGGGGGGTTTAGGTTTTTTTAGGGGGGTTTACATACATTAAAATACCAAAGGGGGGTGTTTGAACCCCCATAACACCCCCCTGCGTACGCCCCTGTGATAAGCTGTATAATGCTCTTTGCATTATGTAATTAAATATTCATTTTCACTGGTATGTGAATCATTTGTCAAATATATAAATGTACCTTGAGGTGACTAAATACAAATTAATAAAGACAATTTCAATACAAAAGGAATCAAAGTGTAAGTATAAACATAAATGTAGGGGCAGACAATTTTTGTGACATCGATGTTTCCAAGGAACAATACTAACGTTAGTAACACCTGTTTTTTGTTTTAAAGCACAATTGATTGTCTGGGTATGCGAGAATATTATTTATTTATTTATTTCATATATGTAAAAAGGGTAGCCCAATCAGCGTATGCACTGTTTTTTGTCGAAGCCCTTTAAATACAAACTAGAAACATTCCAAAAAACTTGTGAATAAGACAAAATTGAACATTTCATTATACAACCAATAATAATTGCATACCATGTTACAAAATATTTAAATGCAAATTTGAATATAAATTTTACATTAATGTGAAGGGTAAGAGTAAGTGTGTGTGTGTCTGTGTGTGTGTGTCTAACGTCTTCCGACTTACAAATAAACATTTAAAACAAACTGAATTAATAAAAATTAAACATTTCAAATAACACTAACCGTAGCTGCACGCAAAACTATTCCCAAAATAAATACATGAAATATTAAAACCACACAAAATAACAAAATGAGTATTGAAGAAAAAAAAATTTAAATAAAGTACGAGATTTGTAACATTATGGGAAAAGGATTTTGTCCCCATTTCGTCCAATATAGTTTGCTCTCGACTGCCTTCAAATTTAGAATTTCCACTGGGAGATTATTCCAATGGGTTTTACCCAAATTGACAAACGATCGTTTATAGTATTCAGTTCTGCATTTATTTGATCTCATTTTTTGTTGATTGAAATTGTGTGTAGTCCGTACCGCCACATCATCGTGGAGAATAAATTTGTCTCCCAGAATATAGGGAGTTAGATGGCGAAAGAAGACCATGCAAAGTAACCATTTTGTATGCATTTGTTGCAGATTATGATGTATGCTGCCCGCTTGTGCAATTTATTCAGTATCTCATAATTATTCTGTGATCTATTTGACCAAACATTGCCACAGTACATTGCATGTGGAAAAACATAGCCCTAGTACAACATACTTAAGTAACGCTTATTGAATGTATTTTGAAAAATTCTGATAACACCTAAGTTCTGTTTCATCTTTAGCGCTACTCTGTCAACATGATTACAAAACGACAAGTAACTGTCCAAAACTACGCCAAGGCATTTATATTCAGATACAGATTTAACTTGTGCATGAGGGTCTAATATGAGCATGAAGTTTATTTTCATTAAGAGTTTAAATTTTCCGTCTTGATCCTAAGATCATTACCTGAGTTTTGTTTGTATTTAGTACGAAATTATTCTTCTGAGTCCAAGAATAAACTTCATGTAATCTTGACTTAACTTTGATTCAATTTCACGAACTGTGGACCCATGTAGGCCTACCGATAGGGTTGCATCGTCGGCAAAGAGAAAAAACGTCTCCACTAGTAACACTTGTCGATAAATTGTTTATGAAAATAGTAAATAGCAGCGGTCCAAGGACCGATCCTTGGGGTACACATGTGTGAATTCATTTGACAGAAGAATTTTCCAATTGATAGTAACATATCGCCTTCTTGCTCTCAAGTATGATGAAAACCAGTTTAGGCTATCGTTGAACAACCACTGCTTTATAGTTTCTGAAGCAAAATATTATGATTGACCGTATCGAATGCCTTTCTCGTGTAAAGAAATGCGACACCATTTATATTCCCTAGATCTACGTATTTAGCCAGAAGAATAGTGCAGTCTCACATGAGTGATTGGGGCGGAACGAAAATTGTCGATCGGTGATAATATTATGCTCTAATAAATATTCTTGCAGTGCAGTATGCACAACTCTCTCTAATATCTGAGATATATATGATTCGCATTTGGAATAATGATATCTGACTTAACTCTCATCTCTATATGAAACAGTATTTCTAGTTGGCAGATGATGCATTATAATCAATACATTTTCTAATGCCACTCATTGTTTTCACTCCATGCGTTTTCCTCCGGAGCAAATTTATAGAAACATTTCATGCTATAAAACTATATTCATTTGAAAAATTGTACAAATACATGTATTTTTTAATCTAATGTAAAAAATGAATTTGTTACAACACTGCGCTACTCTACATCATGTTACATTCAAATAAGATACGTCATCGCAGCTGCATCAAACTGTAGGGTTTCAATTCCAATCATGCTAGAAGATGAAATGTATGTCATCTTTTATTCAAATATTTATTCGTATTTATTCAAGAAAATACAAATAACATAATAATAAAGATGTTACATTAGACCAAGAACCACGATTTAAATTACATTGAATGCATCTGAAGCATCACATTCTAAAAGTGTGCACAATATTTATGCGCCAACGTGCACTTTAGAGATGATAAGGTTGTTCCATCGTCGTTGTTTTTGTCAGCGTATTTGGAGCATGTACACCATCCCCTGCCCACCAGAGAATCCCGCATCCACCACCACCGCAAATAAAATATTTTCATACATCGTTTTCAAATTATCGAGGGAGAGGAGGCTGTAGCTCCCCCCCCCCCACTCCACCCCCGCCGAAACGTACAACTATTAACACAGTATTTATTTACTCGTTTCATTTAAACAGGGTAGCTCTCTGAGTATTAAAACTGTTTCCCTGAGAGGCCCTGTACGGACTATAGGCTACCACTAAAGAGGAAATGAACAGACTTTAAATACACAAAATACATACAGTAAGGTATTACATCATGTTTAAATGTCCCAATGAATTTCCTTGCAAATTTAAATTGTATTCCTCAACCCATGTAATTAGTGAATTTTCTTCGAAGTGTGTTGATTTTCTCTGCACAGAGCCCTTGAAATCGTTTGTTGACTAAATTGTAAACGAAAGGATTGACTGCGTGATTAATGAGGAAGAGATATTCTAAACTTTTTGTTGTAATGAGTATAGCAGGATGGAACTGGGAGAGTCCTTGGTACTGTGTCGTAGAAATGGCTTTGATGAGGATGTTCGGTAGCCAGGACGCGATAAAGACGACAGTAGACAGAATCAGCATCTTCGTTGTCTTATTCCTTATGCCATCAGCCATGGCACAAGCAACACCAGCGTTGCGGTTTTGTCGCTCCGTTTTCTCAGGGAGAGGCCGTTCAGATTTGTGCGAACTCTGGGACCATGCATGTGTCACAGGGACTGCTAAGTGGGGACCATGTGAACAATGCACGGACGATGACTCTGGAACCTTGTAGTCCTCGATGGGTCTGTTGGTCGAGCTGCTCGCCACGGGGGCTTTATCAGATATGGTTTGAATATCATTTGGAGAAGGTGATTCGTGAATGGGTGCAGGATTGGGAGCAGGTGCCACACGGGCCCTGAAATGGGCCTGGCGCCGAATCATGATGCACATTTGCAGGTAGAGTATGATCAGTACAACAGTGGACAGCAAAAAAGCGAAGGCAATTATGCCGTAGATGCCTTTTATGAGCCACTGGTTGGCCGTTGGTGTGCAGTTAGACACCGAAGGCCCATAGCTGTGGATATCAAAAGCAAACACCGATGGCAGGCTACAGACAAAGGCATTCACGAAACATCCTACACAGACCTTGAAGGATCGTGGTAAGTTGAGGAATGTCTTCAGAGGATAACAAACTGCGAAGTAGCGATCAAAGGCCACAGCGGTGGTAAGGAACATGGAGGTGAAAACACTGACGAAGTTGGTGAAGATGTGTATTTTGCATAAGATGCTGGATTGTTGATTGTTGAAGGTCAGCCAGTAATGGATACTGAACGGCATGAGGCAGCAGGCAAGGAGGTCGGCGACGGCGAGAGCGATGACGAAAACGTGAACGCTCTTTTTTGGAGTGCGACTCGCCGTGACGAGAAAAACGAGGAGGTTTCCCGGTATACCCACCGCCATCAGCACCACGTGGAAAGCCACCAAGACGCCAACGTAAGGCTCCATCTCGTGTGCGAACAAGATCGAAATTAAGACGTCGAGCTATCTCTTAGGAAATCAGTCAAGTTTGTGACTCGTCATCCCATTATCTGCTTTAATACTCCCGAATGGCCTTGTAACGATCACTAACTTTTCTACTTTAAAAAAAATCGAAATGCGTGCATTTGAAACTAGTCATGACGTAACTTACGTAACTGGCTGCGCATGGGCATGCTATCCGAGAAGCCTGTTAAATGTACTGAACCGGGCTGGCCAGAAAATACACACGTAAAACGATCAACGAAGTATGTTAACAGCCTGTCTAGAATCTCCACAAATTGCGGAAAATTTAGCAGCGTATATTTATTTTTCTTTCTCCTTCTTTCTTCTGCTTTAAAAAAAAAAATTTTAAACTGAAACTTACATAAATTAATCGATAATAAAAATAAGGAAAGTGTTGTCTTCATCATTTGTTGAATTTAGTATCGATTTTCAGATTGGACAGCCTTTAAAGAAACCCAACAACACCAACAAAAAATAAATCATAGCAATCAAGAACGACGCAAACCCATTTCCGAGAATATCAAAGGTTAAGCAAGTTGTAATAATTCGATGCTCATATAGATGAACTTGAAGAAAAGTAAGAGGCCAAATATATATGAGAGCAGGGTGCATGAGAGCACATGGGGGGAAATAGGTAGGAGGGGGAAGCTCTGAAGAAGAGAGATGGTTGTAGGTATAGGCGCGCGCCGGAAGTGGGGGGGGGGGCAGGGGGCAGTTGCCCCCCCCCCCCGTAACCAAAAAAAATCAACAAAAAAAACGCCCCCCCCCCCCAAAAAAAAAAAAAAAAAAAAAAAAAAAAAAAGCAGTAAAGGAGTAAAGATGGTTTGTATTTTTAACCCAAAAGAACATAACAATAATAAAAACCTGAATTAAATCACATATAAAATTCTATTCAAAGAAAAGGAAAGTTAACAGGAAAAACATTGCGCATTCCACCTATATTTATCAATGGAGGTTTTTATAATAGCGATGCGCGCATATCGTGGACATATTGTGAGAGAATGGGAAAGCGTGTCTGTTTTTGTTATAGGGGTGAAAAGACGTGAGCCCCTGAACGCTGGCGTACTGATGGGGGGGGGGGGGGTTATTTCTTATTCGATACTAGTGATTTACAATTACAAATGTTGCTGAAATGACATGAATTTCAAGGTATTTTTTCTCAATTCTTTTGTAAGTCATAGCTTTTTATGCGTTTGTTGAAAAATTAGAAATTCCCAAAATTAAAGTCGGGTAAAAAATATGCTTATTTAGAAACATTATGTCAGGGTCTGCAGAACGGCTGGGCTTGGGGGCTCGAACCCCCTCAATTTTTGAAAAAGTATTTTACAGAGAAAAAGAAAAATGCACAAATGAGGTATCAAAATATGCTCATCTCACCGTAATTAAATGCCTAAAACCCCAAACCTTCCGGGGGCTCTGTCCCCTGGATGCTCATCTGACCGTAGTTAAATATTAAAACCTCTGAGCTTCCGGGGTCTTTGCCCCCTGGACCACATCAATGGTCTTAAAGAGGGCCCCTGGATGCTCATCTAACCGTAATTAAATACCTAAAACCCCTGAGCTTCGGGGGCTCTGCTCCCTGGACTCTCTGCCAATTAGTGACCTGCCAGTGTCACAAATAAGGTATCTAAATATGCTTATCTTACCGTAATTTAATGCCTTAAAACCCTGAGCTTCCGGGGGCTCAGTTCCTGGACCACACGCCAATTTACGCTCTACCTGATCGTTAATACTCCACTCTGAAAAACGTTCCGCGGGGCCTCCATGTAACGTGTAGGAGTGGTGGTGATGCAGATGTTTCTGCTGCCCCCCCCCCGGCCCCAAACGTTTTTGCTCAAGTGAGCCCCCTGGAATGTTTGCCCCCCCCCCCCCCCAATCCCAAACTGCTTCCGGCGCGCCTGGTTGTAGGGTGACGGAGAGTTGTGGAGAAGGAAGGAAAGGAAAGGAAGAGTACCGTGGGGAAGGCTCCGGGTCTTGGAGTCGGACAGAGGGAGAGGCATGGTGGCGAGGGAAAGAGAGCTTAAAGGGATAGTTATGTTCTGTTGAAGAAGGCTTCACAAAATAATTTTTTGTGAGATAGGCAAATTTGAAAGAACATAAAATTTACATTACAAAATCACCTTTGTTTGAACGAATTCGGTTCAGAAACGGTTGAAATATCCATAAATATAACGATTTCTAATATTTATGTATCACCACAAATATTCGATTATATGAATCGGCCGTTGCAAAAACAAAATAGCGCCTTTTACGTTGTATTTGAGCCAATGCCTACGTTTGCTTGTTTGTTGGCTTTTTCGTGGTGGTTATATTACGCACAACCAGCCGGCCCATATATTGTTATTATTAATTAATCAATTAATTAATTATATGTCACCGTCTGAGGTGATGCATTATAATTAATACGTATTTTGATGTCGCTCATTGTTTTCACGCCATGCGTCTTCCTCCAGAGCAAATGTCTACAAATATGTTAAGCTATACAACTATATTCATTTGAAAAATTGTTCACATGCCGCATTTTACTCTTTCCTACTTTTCATATTATCCTCTTGACCATTAGAAGTTTGCAACAAATACATGTATTTTTAATCTAAAGTAAAAATGAGTTTGTTACAACTCTGCGCTACTCTACTGCATGTTACAAAACTTCATCATATGTTTAAGCAAGGAAGGTTCTTAAAAATTAAATTGCATGCGCTCTTCTTGACTTATGCCATTCAAATAAGTTACGTCATCTTAGCTGCATCAGACTATAGGGTTTTAATTATAATCCTCCTAGAAAATAAAATGTATGTCATCTTTTAATCATTCCTTTAGTCAAAACTAAAATCTATATGAGCCTCTTCATATTATATTTTTAAAAAAAAATGTTTGCGCACTATTTCAGAAATATCAGGAAGCTGTAATCAGGGAGGTGAAAGAAAGGAGTGGTAAATCTTGTTATTTATTCAAACGCATTCGTGCAACTTTCTATTGGTTATCAAATGCCTTTTCCGTGCTCGAATAGCTCTACTGAAGACATAGCCAATTTAACCAGCGAAATCTACCAAGGAAAACGTGAGTTAGAGCGAATGTAAAGGCCGGTGTGATACGATTTTCCACGTGTCCGGTGCCAATTATCCCTAGATGAATCAAGGGAAATCTGTCCACAACACTCCGTTGGACAGTTATCACTGGCGCACCTCTAGGGATAAATGTCCAGGCACAGGAATTAGTGATTATATCATGTATATGGGCCCATAATCGAAAACGAAAAATGTGTAATTTACCTGAATTGGTAGAAATGTATGTGTATAGTATTATAGCGGTTATGTTAAACAAAAATATATGTGAGTTTGATTATTTTGTTGTAATAAAACCCCCTGATAAGGGTGAAAGAAAAAAATGCAATGTTTACGTTTCGCCCCAAAATATTGGAATTGTTTACCTGTCTATAACTTCTCTCTTTCTCTATATAGTAAACATTCAATTATATTTATGCTGGAAATATTGAATGCATCGTTCTCCATTGTATCTCTCTCTCTCTCTCTCTCTCTCTCTCTCTCTCTCTCTCGCTCTGTTTCCCTTCCCCTCCCTGGTCTGCCCCATCTGGGATAGAAGGTAGTTGCTCTGTATCACTATTAATATTCTAGTACATCTCTTTTTCACTCTCTACTCTTTCACCCTCTCCTTCTCTCGATCTGTCTTCCTCTCCCTCTCTTGCTCTATTGCCTCCCTCTCCTTCTCTCGATCTGTCTTCCTCTCCCTCTCTTGCTCTATTGCTTCCCATTTCTTTTATTGATCTGTCTCCCGAGCTCTGTCTCTGCCTCTGTAGCTCTTTCTCTACTCTCTTACCCCTCTAACCCTCTCACTTTTCCACCTCTTGGCTCCTGTTTCCTCTCTTTTATGTCTTAAAATGTTCCTTAATTAATTCCTAGCTCTTTCCTTTGCCCTTTGTATTCTTATTTCACCCCTATCATGTTTCCTTATACTATCCTCTCTCTCCTTCCAAGTGCATGCATTCTGATTCCGCTTTCATCCCTCTATCCAGCTCATCCATTTTTTACATGACTATACCCCGTCTCCCTATCTCCTTAATATCTATTTACTGCCATACATCTCTCTCTCTTTCTCTCTCTCTCTCTTTGTCTGTATTTATCTCTCTATACGTCCAGACCACCTCATTCATCTCCCTAATCGTTTCTTTCTAATTTCATAATGAAGATGCGATAATCATTGTTGATGGGTAGAAAAAGATTCAAATTGTGCCGTGCAGGAAATCTTCAAGAAAAGCATTACTTGCTGAACAATAAAACAATACAAATTGAAGGAATTTATAAATATTAATAGTTCCTACCAACCCAAATGGTGAAATGGTCATTAATATCATTATAATTGTCACTTCCTAACACCCAGTATAAAAATGTGATATACAGTAAAGTTGGGACAGGGAGAGAGAGGAGGGGGTGATGGTGATCAATGATCCATCATACACTCACGAACACACACGCACACACACACACACACACGCACACGCACACGCGCACACACACACACACACGCACGCATCCACATGCAAACACACGTACACACAACGCACATGTGAACAATTATTGTTTCATTATTTCCCCTTTTCTGATTAGGCATTGACTTTTATCAAGATAGCTGAATGTTTAAGTGGCATTTCCCTGACAATTTGTTCCTTAACTACACATTCACAACCAACATCATATCATCATCATCATCATCATCATCATCATGAAGTGCACATGAATCCAATGTGCTATCTCAATACGTAGGTACATAAACAATCGTTGGCTATGTCTTTTGTTAACAATGAAAATTTACAATAGATGTCTCAGGCGCGGATCCACGTGGCGATTTTCCCCCTGCCCCCCCCCCTCCCCCCCCCCCCCCCCCCCCAGCGCCCAAAACTGTTTTAAAAAAATATGATAATAACGTAAATTTAATCTTTTTTAAACAAAAAAAATCGGGCCCACCTCCCCCCGAAAAATAAAATATTTTCGCCCGCATCAAAAAAAAAATAGTGGTTCTCCTTTCCATCATCCCCCTCCCCCTGGCTAGATGAATCGCTGCTAAATATCTTCTCACGAATTGGTCCCCCCCCCCCCCCTCCGAAAAAAAGTGTGCTCTTACCAGCCCCCCCCCCCCCCGTTTATCCACCGGCCGGCTGAGTCGGCGCTAAATTTTTTCTCAAAATTTTGGGCCCCCCCCCCCCCCCCCTCTCTTGTCGTCGGCTGGATCCACCCCATCATGTCTGTGCTTTTGTTTCACTTGCCTACAAAAGGGTTTGCCTGATTTGAAAACAAATTGATAAAACACATGGGGTGAAATATGTAGGAGGGGGAAGCTTTGAAGAAGAAAGATGGTTGGAGGGTAATGTAGAGTTTGGGAGAAGGAAGGGAAAGGAGAGTGGGTGGGGCAAGACTTGGGTGCTTGGACACAAGGAGAGGGATGGTGGAGAGAGAAAGAGAGCTTAAACAGAGCACAGAGGGAGGAAAGAGGCATGTAGAGAGAGAGAGAGAGAGAGAGAGGAGGAAAAGTATTTCTTTTTCATGTATATCATTCTACACTAACAACGTGTTTCATGTAAATTATAAATTGTATAAAATGAAAGTTATTAGTTCCCCATTATGTTCATTTTGGGATCTAGAAAATGAAACGGTTGAACACTTTTTTGGAAATGTACAATAGTACAACATTTTGGTAATCAGCTTGAAAATTAGCTGACCTTGTTTGATGTCTAGATTTTAACCGAAAAAAAGGTAATTCTTGGTATATTGTCGAAGAATAATATTCTTTTCAATCATATATTACTGATTGCAAAGAAAACAATTTACCTAAATAGATGGAAATTAGCTAATCCAGATATTTCTGACTTTATTTCTTTATTAATCAAATCTTACAAAATGGAAATATACATTGTTATACGTAATGATACCAAAACTGCCATTGACAGCAAGCGGCAGGGCAATGCCCAGTGGATATCCATTGTCAGATAAGTGAAGAAAGGTATTCGATATGTTAATAAGCTGTATAATGCTCTTTGCATTATGTAATTAAATATTCATTTTCACTGGTATGTGAATCATTTGTCAAATATATAAATGTACCTTGAGGTGACTAATACAAATTAATAAAGACAATTTCAATACGAAAGGAATCAAAGTGTAAGTATAAACACAAATGTAGGGGCAGACAATTTTTGTGACATCGATGTTTCCAAGGAACAATACTAACGTTAGTAACACCTGTTTTTTTTTTTAAAGCACAATTGATTGTCTGGGTATGCGAGAATATTTATTTATTTATTTATTTCATATATGTAAAAAGGGTCGCCCAATCAGCGTATGCACTGTTATTTTGTCGAAGACCTTTAAATACAAACAAACTAGAAACATTCCAAAAAACTTGTGAATAAGACAAAATTGAACATTTCATTATACAACCAATAATAATTGCATACCATGTTACAAAATATTTAAATGCAAATTTGAATATAAATTTTACATTAATGTGAAGGGTAAGAGTAAGTGTGTGTATGTGTGCGTGTGTGTGTGTGTGTGTGTGTGTGTGTCTAACGTCTTCCGTACTGCCACATCATCGTGGAAAATAAATTTGTCTCCCAAAATATAGGGAGTTAGATGGTGAAAAAAGACCATGCAGAGTAACGATTTTGTATGCATTTGTTGCAGATGGCCAGCTATGATGTATGCTGCCCGCTTGTGCAATTTATTCAGTATCTCATAATTATTCTGTGATCTATTTGACCAAACATTGCAACAGTACATTGTATTTGGAAAAGCATAGCCCTAGTACAACATACTTAAGTAACGCTTATTGAATTTTTTTTAATTTGTCTGATAACACCTAAGTTCTGTTTCATCTTTAGCGCTACTCTGTCAACATGATTAGAAAACGACAAGTAATTGTCCAAAACTACACCAAGGCTTTTATATTCAGATACGGATTCAACTTGTGCATGAGGGTCTAATGTGAGCATGAAGTTCATTTTCACTAAGAGTTTGAATTTTCTGTCTTGATCCTTTGATCACAACCTTAGTTTTGTTTGTATTTAGTACGAAATTATTCTTCTGAGTCCAAGAATAAACTTCATGTAATGCTGGCTTCAACTTCGATTCAATTTCACGAACTGTGGACCCATGTACTGATAGGGTTGCATCGTCGGCAAAAGCAAAAACGTCTCAACTAGTAACACTTGTCGATAATCGTTTTTGAAAATTGTAAATAGCAGCGGTACAAAGAACGATCCTTGGGGTACACCTGTGTGAATTCTTTTGACAGAAGAATTTTTCCCATTAATAGTTACATATTACCTTCTGCCTCTCAAGTATGATGGTAACCAGTTTAGCAAATGTATACAAATATTTCATGCTATACAATTATATTCATTTAAAAATTGTACACATGCCGCATTTTAATCTAATGTAAAAATTAGTTTGTTACAACATTGCCCTACTCTACAGCATGTTACAAAATGTCATCATATGTTTAAGCAATGAAGTCTCAATCTTGACTTATGCCATTGAAATACGTTACGTCATCGCAGCCGCGCCAGACTATAGGGTTTCAATTCCAATCCTGCTAGAAGATGAAATGTATGTCATCTTAATAATCAAACGTTATTCGTCTTTATTCAAGAAAATACATATAACATAATAATAAAGATGTTACATCAAACCTAGGACCAAGATTTATATTTCATTCAATGTAACTCAAGCATCACATTCTAAAAGTGTGTACAATATTAATGCGCCAATGTGCACTTTTGAGATGATAAGGCAATTTTAAGTTGTGTTCCTCAACCAATGTAATTAGTGAATTTTCGTCGAAGTGTCTTGATTTTCTCTGCACAGAGCCCTCGAAATCTTTTGTTGACTAAATTGTAAACGAAAGGATTGACTGCGTGATTAATAAGGAAGAGATATTCTAAACTTTTTGTTGTAATGAGTATAGCAGGATGTAACTGGGGGAGTCCTTGGTACTGTGTCCGGGGAATGGCTTTGATGAGGATGTTCGGTAGCCAGGACGCGATGAAGACGACCGTAGACATAATCAGCATCTTCGTTGTCTTATTCTTCATTCCATCAGCCACAGCCCCAGCAACACGAGCGTTGCGGTTCTGTCGGTCTGTTTTCTCAGGGAGCGGCTGAAGGGTGCTTTCAGATTTGTACAGACTCTGGGGCCATGCACATGTCACAGGGACTGCTAGGTGGGGACCAATTAGTGAACGATGCATGGAAGATGATTCTGGAACCTTGTAGTCCTCGATGGATCTGTTGGTTGAGCTGGTCGCCACGGGAACTTTATCAGATATGGTTTGAATGTCATTTGGAGAAGGTGATTCGTGCATGGGTGCAGGATTGGGAGCAGGTGCCACACGGGCCCTGAAATGGGCCTGGCGCCGAATCATGATGCACATTTGCAAGTAGAGTATGATCAGTACAGCAGTGGACAGCAAAAAAGTGAAGACAATTATGCCGTAGATGCCGCGTGAGAGCCAATGGTGGGCCGTTGGTGTGCAGTTAGACACCGAAGGCCCATAGCTGCGGATATCAAAAGCAAACACGGATGGCAGGCTACATACAAAGGCACTCACGAAACATCCTACACACACCTTGAAGGATCGTGGTAAGTTGAGGATTGTCTTCAGAGGATAACAAACTGCGATGTAGCGATCAAAGGCCACAGCGGTGGTGAGGAACATGGAGGTGAAAACACTGACGAAGTCGGTGAAGATATGGATTTTGCATAAGATGCTGGATTGTTGATTGTTGAAGGTCAGCCAGTAATGGATACTGAACGGCATGAGACAGCAGGCAAGGAGGTCGGCGACGGCGAGAGCGATGACGAAAACGTGAACGCTCTTTTTTGGAGTGCGACTCGCCGTGACGAGAAAAACGAGGAGGTTTCCCGGTATACCCACCGCCATCAGCACCACGTGGAAAGCCACCAAGACGCCAACGTAAGGCTCCATCTCGTGTGCGAACAAGACCGAAATTAAGACGTCGAGCTCTCTCGCTGGTTACTATATACTCGCCACCTTAACGACTGATGGATATTATAGCAAATATTAAAGTATTTCTCTTTGGACGAAGTATAGTAACGCAGCCTTGTAATTAATAGCTACTCTTACTAGAAAACCACTTTAGTTTGTGAGAGTCTTGACCATCCATTATCTGCTTTAATATACCCGAATGGTCGTTACCAGTTTTCCCCTTGAATTTCTTTTACAAGTACGTGTCATTCGAACTAGTCATGACATAACCGAATATTGTAAGGACCTAGGCTAGTACGTGTCATTCAAACTAGTCATGATGTAACCGAATATTGAAAGGACCTAGGCTAGTACGTGTCATTCATAGTCATGACGTAACCGAATATTGAAAGGACCTAGGCTGTGCATGAGCATATAAGCCGAGAAGCCTGTTCAATGAACCAGCGGGGGGTCTCAGTCATGTACAAATGATGTAAGCATGCGTGACCACTGGTTTTCCAGACACCTCTTCTTCTGAAATCAAAATACACCCTAAATGAGGATATCTCGTTTTTCTACCCGAACTCACACCCTAAACGGTCATTTAAAAAAAATTGTAATCCTAAACAAGTATTGTAAAATTGTAATCCCTTGAGCATTTTGAAGTGCGATAGGGATACAATTTAAGTTGTTGACAATGTAAAATAAATCAAATTGCGCTTCTGATGTAAAATTCACAATATATGTTGTTCATTAGAGAGTTTGGGAGAAGGAAGGGGGAGAGTGGCTTCTGGGGGCCTGGACAGAGGGGGGGGGGGGGTGGGGTGGCGAGAGAAAGAGAGCTTCATAGAGCAAAGGGTGAGGAAAGAGGTTTAGAGAGAAAAGGGAGAGTACGGAGAAAGAGGAGGTGACAAGCTAAAAGGAGGGAGCAGATACACGTTTCATATCGTCTGTTTGGGGCAAAACAAATTCTGTGACTCTATTAAAGTCACAAACATATTTTTTTTATCATGGACCATGTTTGTATCTTCATTTTTCACACCCACTAGATATTATCTCTATAGCGTTTACTGCTTCGTTAGTAAATACTAAACTTTCCTTTCATTCTAGTAGAGGAGGCAATATTTCAAAATGAGAGGGGAGTACTGAAGATAGTTAGGTTGTTTGTTTTGTTTTTTTGGAGGGGGCGGGGGGAGAGGTACCAGCCACACATGGAGATGACTCTTGCACCGGCTCTTCAATACTCTTCAGCTTGGAAAGGCAAGAGCAGAAACAAAAGGAAACAAAACATTTGTCATAATTCCTTCTTTGCATTTAGCCAACAAGAGGAAATTTTAATATACCCAAATCAGAATTTAACCGTTTTCTGCCTAACATGGATAGTTTACCGACGGTTATTCAAAACTATGTTATAGTGCAGCACAGTTATTTTCATTTAATATGTTAGCTTCTTACTTGATTTTGTTCCTCCTAATTTATTCATATGAAACTTTTTATATCATATATATTTAGCTTGTTATTTTTATTTGATGCGCTAGCTTTTTTTAAATTTTGTTTTATATACATGTATTATCATCTTTAAGTATATATGATCTGTTTTAGGTTTTTTTCACGGACTTGCTGAAAAGCAGTCTTTTTAGGCTGATGTGAGTTTTATCGTGAATAAATAAATTCAATTAAATTCGGTATTCCACGGTTATACGACAGTGATTTCATCTTCATGTTCATTGTAGTTCAGTTTTTTGTAACATTACCTCAGATTCTGAAACAAAATCCTGGATTTAGCTCATGCTGCAATCATAATTATTAATAAGGTCAGTCAGGAATCCCATGAATTTTTCCAAGCCGGTCGCCTGTCTGATTATCAAGATATTTATGATTGAAAATCGAAATTATATGTTTCGTTTTCCTAACGGTTTTTATAACACTACAGTCTTTTGGGGGAAATGAATGTGGTAGAAACCTGTCACTCAAGTTTTTACTTGTTTAAGGCACGACTTCGTGTTCATTTTGAAGCGCACTTTTTTGTAGGGCATCAATATTACACCATATCACAGACACTGATAACACGTAGGGCCATGCATCTCAGATTAAACACTGTTAAACGATGCCTTGACTTATTGGAGCTTAATTCGGTTATAATTACTCCCAGCGGGAGTTCATCCGTATCCGTAAGATATATCGATTAACGCAACACCAACAAGCCCAAGGGGATCCATCAATTGGACTTCTCCTTCTCTTCTATTGTTTTCAAAATCCACCTCAAACTAATTGTTAGCGTGAGATGTAATGGCAATAATCCTACAATGATCCTATATAATCTGGTACCGATTGGTTAGGATGCTTTTCCTAAATTGCACAATAGGGCCTGTCACACCCTCATCATCATTTTGATACAAGGAGAGGTAGATCCTGTAATCCTCGGTCACTTCTTCAGGGTTCAGTGGTTATGTTCTAAAGTGAGCTAATTTGTACATGCACAGGGTTGGGGCGGTTTTGATCACATTGAAATAAATCAACTCAAATCGCTCTGACCACAAGTGCTCATCTAGTCCAGAATCTGCACGGTCCTTTATAATTTCCCTACACTTGATTCAAGCCGTCGAGGATGGCGTTATCAACAAACTCACCAGCCCAGCCTAAGGACCTTATTTTTTTTCGCCGGGCGTCTTAATTTAATGATCACGCCATCATCGGCTGGTAGCAAGTAAGTAGGGAGAGGTTAGCGTTGGTGTGGTGGAGATCAAAATTAAATAGGCCAGATTCTGGACTAGTGCTCATCCAGTCTCATTTATTTATTTATTTATTTTATTTACTAGTCTTTTTTTTAGTAGGGTAGCTCCATCAGTAGTTAAATACTGTTTTCCGTGGAGGCCCTACAACATAAATACAATATTTACAAGCATATGCAATCCAAATCGAAACAAAATGAATTCAGGTACATTTTCGAACAAAAGAAAAGAAACAAAAACAACACAATAGACCAGTTCAATGATTTAAATTATTTTAGCGCCAAAACAAAAGTATATGACGAATTTGATGGCGCATTTAAAAAAAATTAGGCAAACTATTCCAAAAAGCCGCACCATCAAATGAAAAACTTTGTTTTCCCATCTTGGTTTTTATTTTGGGTAAAATTAATCCAGGGTATTTTAAAGATACCCTGGGGTGAGTTGCTGTTAGATTCCTTTAGAAGTAATCATGTAGCTTTAATGAGCTGTGGTCTCAAGGTGTATAGCGTCCTATCAGAGCAAGTAGCTTTGAGAAATGACTTTTTCTAGATACCGGATATATAGCACGGAGGAGAGAGAGGGGAGTGAGAAAGGAGAGAGGGAGGGAGGGAGAGAGAGCCTGAGAGAGAGGTTCATTTGCAAGTAAGATGATGTATTGGTGTAAAATGACATGATTTTATTTTTATAAATATCATGAATATGTCGAACCTTTTTCTTACTCAGAAAGACTTTGACAAGAGGTCATTGTACTTTTCTGAAAATAGACGAGTTCGTTGATAGCACATGCACACAATTAATGACCCAAATTATCCACGGCTCTCAAACCATTAAAAAGTCCCACTTAGTGCATTTTCATAATAATCACTGCCAAAAGACTGTGATGAAGGCACTTTATGAATATCTTTTGTTTGCCCCATTGGAAATAATACTTCCACCTGTGTATCATAGAATGTACCGTCGGAGCATAGATGAATAATGATTGCATAACTTTCATGAACACTTACCCTACATTCGTCTTCATAGGAGTATCTTATGTTCAGATACTATCACTGAACTGGCTTATAGATACTTTGTAATGATAATCACTTATAGCGATGGACTTGACATTTCGTTTCGATTTCAGAGTTCATTTACATTTGTTTTGGTTTGTGATTTCTCCTATTTCGTTTTACCCGGAACACTTCGAAAGTGGAATTTACGTCAATAAGTAAATTCAATTTGGAGCGATGTATGCTTAAGCCTTGAATTACTCTCTCTCCCTTTCTCTCTATTTTTTCTTTATGTCCCTTTGTCTTTCTATCTTTATAAGGATGTCTCGTTCTGAGTTCTTGAAATTGCAAAATTAATTCACAAAGTATTTCATTTATTCGTTATTGCTCGTTCTTTATAATTATGCTAAAGCCACTTTCAAACTATCAGAATTCTGAGTGGGATGTTACGTGTGGGGGTAAAGCTCAGTGGTAGAGCATTCGAGAGGTCTTTGGTTCAAATCCGGGTGCCCCCTCCATATTTTTAAAAAATTAAAATAGTTACCCCTTGTGTTGATATGTGTATCATCGTTTCTTCAAAGGAACACATACTTTGCTTTCTTTTGGAAGTATTGCACAGTCATGTTATACGAAGCATATTCTTTGGTGAAGACACGACCTGTCGCTGTCTGTCTCTGTCTGTTGTTTGTCGGTCTGTCTGTTTGTCTCTCTCTCTCTCTCTCTCTCTCTCTCGTTCTGTCTCCCTCCCTCTCTCTATTGCTCCTTCTCTTTCTCTCTCTTTCTCTCACTTTCTCTTTCTATCTTGGGATTAAATTTCTTCTCTTCCTCCTTCCTCTTCTTCTTGTTCTTCTGTTTATTGTTCTCCTTCTTTTTCTTATTTTTCTTCTTGTTCTTCTTGATGAGCTGAATGAACTTGAAATATTGTTTTCAAATAATAAACACATAACAATAGGTATAAACAGTTTTACACAGTAACATAAAAGGGATAAAAGGAACCAGAAAATATCATGATCCTCTTCTCGTTCTTCTTGATCGCTTTGTTCCTCGTCTCACTACTACTAGTACTACTACTACTACAATAATATTTGTACTGCTGCTACTACTATTATTATTATTTATATTATTTTAATAATTATTATCGTTATTGTTATTATTATCATCATTATTATGATAATCATTACTACTACTACTTCTACTACTACTGCTACTCCTTCATATAGCATTTAGATAGCAATTTCCACTATCCTTATAATCTTTCATTATCTGATCTCTTTCAAAATGCAACAAAATGTATGGCACTTACCGTAGCTGGCGCTCTTTAAAGTTACCTTTGGATTAGGTGGACTAGGATAGGCTTCACTGAGCTTACGTAGTTCCTGAATGCATAAAAGTGGGCGTGGGTCTGGTTTTGTTTACATCGAACTCATGTTTCGTCAGCTGTGTCGTTCACGCAGTACAGCCATATGTTTCCTTCAATACTGCAAGAAAGGACTGAGCCCTATTATACTTTAGCATCGGCAAGGGAGGGAGTATATAGCTCAGGTAGAGCATTCGACTGCAGATCGAGAGGTCCCTGGTTCAAATCCGGGTGCTCCCTTGTATATGTTATTTTAGTTTTACCACAGGATACTGCAATAAGCCCAATGTTTATATAGTACTAA